GTTCCAATCAAGATTTCTAGAACTATTGAATCAGCTAACTTTATAGTCTCATTTAATTTATGTCCATGCACCCTTTTCCAGCTGCTTCGTGCACAGAATAATTTAAACCTTTATTAAAGTTTCAGATCATGTTGTGTGATGAGTGATCCTAGAAGATGCCATTATGAGCATCAAATATCTTTGTCAGTTTATCTTTCTGCCTGCTTCAAATTAGGCATTCTTTTAGCATAGAGCTTTGCATACACCAGTATCTATAGGGAATAGAGACATACCAGAAATTTTGCCTTGTTCCTTATGAGAAAGCCTTGGGACAGTCCAGATCCCTTTCATTTGGAAACTGTTATGTATTATGTCTCTATAAAATCTGGACCTCATGTAATCATCAAGAATTACCAAGATGTTTCCTTTCAATTTGAGAAGTATATTATCCAACCAATTCGATATCCATTTGCCATTTATATTGAATGATTTGTTTTCCTATGTGTTGTTGCTGGGGTTTACATTATTCCTTTTATATGAAGGTTCCGCATTCTGCTCGAGCTAGTATGGTGGTCACTGGTAGTCCTTCACGCTTTGCTGCAGGCCTCCACCAATCAATCAGGATCATCAAGGAAATCTTCCAACTGTATCCCTTGTCTGGAACAAATTACATTGCATCCTCTCCCTCCCCTGCTCCATCTGGTGGCACTTCAGCTTTCAAAGATGCTCATCAGCAAAGCCATAGAATAAGAACCTGGAAGTCATCCATATCCCTTCATATGATACCAGGCACACTAATACATAGCAAGTAGCGACATTACTTGCCCACAGGAAAAGTCATGTCACGGTGTTGGATCAAAGAGGACAAATTGTGTAGTTTTTACTTTTAACCTTCATTTCTACCATAGCTTGTCCAAGTGTACATGCATTGGTAGTCCACCTCTGGTCTGGGTTAAAATACCAATTTGATCCTTTAACTTTTAAATATGTATTAAAATTATCTCTTAATTTTAAAAAATATTAAAATTATCTTTAAACTTTGATTTCTTGTATTAAAATAATTCTCAAACTTTGAAGATAATACTAATTTAGATTTTAAATTTTGAAGATAAATATTAATTTAATTCTAGAATTTTGATTACAAAAATAAACTTAGTATTTCAATCTTAATTATATATCCATCTAATTTGTAAATAGAAATGTTACAATTATAAAATATAATTGTTTGATTTTATACGTTATTAATATTTTAAAAAAAATAAATTTTATGGTAAAATAACAAATCACAATACCTTTATTGACAAAAGAACTTTTTGGGTATTAAAATTAAAATTTAGGGATAATTTTGATATGAGTTTAAAAGTTGAGAGATTAAATTGATATTTTAACCATTATTTGTTGAAACCCGTGGTTCTATTGTCATTGTTCATGCTTGAGGCTTCACATGCTTGTCGGAGGCTTAATTATTACCCCCAATAATACCATTCTCATTCTCTACGGGACATGATACACGCGTGGCACTACGCCGGCCGAAGTAATGGGGAAGTTCACGTGATTGTGTTTATAGTTGGGCTA